AATTCTCAACGCTTTTCATGTAACTTTAAGTGACCGATGTGGGGGAATGGAAAGGAGCCCACCTCTTAGGTGGTTGTGTTCTTACCCCTGTTTTCAGGCGTCTGTTTCAGAGAGCTGCAACTGGCTGATACCACAGTGGTGGCTTTGAAAATTTAACTTTTTTCAAAGGGGATCACAGAATTCATCTTAAACAAAAAGTCCAGAAAGGTTTTCCTGCGGTCCACTATCCGAGGGGAGGATGGCACTGTAAAATCAGGGGGTTTTTTACAAAGGATATTCACCCCTTCGGATAGGAAGCACCAGTTGGTGCTTTTAACTGTGAAAATATTGCTCCACCATCATATTGTCTGAATGAATTCAGCTGTCTTGGTTAAGGTATGCGTAAATCTAAGAATGAGTTGCGCGCACGTGCTACCATATCAATTAAATGACATTTACTCCATATAATGTGACTGACTTCTAAAAATATTTTAATTTCGTTTAAACTCCTAAACGTACTTGTCAATGTTTTTGTAAGGTGCCTAATTCATAGAAAGCTTGGGTCTTGAGTTGAGCTATGTAAACATTTTGCGGTAGCCAGATGTCGTTTAATAGCTTGATAATAATAGCTTGGTCTTCACATGAATTTCACTTTTTTTTTTTTTTCCCCTTGAACATGTAACATATGTGGAATAGCCAGCAAATACAAATTTTATCAATCAGATATAGTTTGACATTTTTAACACTTTTTAAACTTTGCAAAGACCTGTTTACCATATGGTGTAAGTGGGTGTGCAGGAAACGACACTGTTACATGAAGTCTGATATATACTGTACTACTTTTCCATGAACTGAGCATGAACGTTTCCTTTTAACGGGTGTGCTGGAGGCCTTTGAAGCCTGGGCGTATGACTTTGGACAGTGACACTTATGTTTGTGTGCTTCTGTAGGCGACTGTGTTAAAATCACAATCCTTTAGATTTTCTTATATTTATTTGACTTTATTCACAACAGTTTGTTCCACATTAATGCTGCGACGTGTGAAAGAAGCAGCAGAAAAGCAGAATTTATAATTTTCTTTTCATCGTTGCAGTAGCCAGTTGTTATTGTTGTGGTGCCAAGTATCCTATTTCCTGTTTACTTCCTACATCTTTTGAGGATGCTGCAGAGTTTCGAGGCAATTCCATGATCCTTGAACTGAAATCCCGTATATCATTAAATTGAATTAGTCATGGTAGGTTCTTCAGAGATAGGGTCATTGCAGCTTTCCGTGACTTGCAGATATTGATTCCAAATAGTGGTCTGGCTTATTTGCATACAATTATGGTTTAATTCAGTTAGCATTTCAGGCAAGGATGAGAGCACAGCCCTTAATGCTCTGGTCTGCAGCACCTCAAATATACACGGGACCAGTGTTACTCAGGGTGTGGAACTCCCCACTCCATGCAAGCGAGCAGCTTGGCGCTTGCTCCTCTCACAGACAGAAGCTGCTGCTTCTCCTCCAACAGCCGCTTCAGAGTAGAAAAGTATTTGAAGATACTTTTTACTGATGCTTTTCAGAGGACAAGATCGAGCATCGTTTAAATGCCAAAAGGACACAGTTTTCCAAGATGAAAGTGTTTGTACCTCTGCTCATAAATGTTTAACACGTCGTCCCATCTTGATGCAGTTTTTAACTAATTGCTAGAAACTTACACATGCCTCTCTGAAATGACTTTTTGATTTAGTCTCCTGCTTATCAGATAATTAGTAGCTTAATTAGTTTTTAAACAAAGTTCAGGTAAGCAAAAAAAAAAAAATTGATCCAGACCTAAAACATTGGGTTTTGTTTCGGGTTTGGTTTGGGTTTTTTTTTTTTTTTTTTTTTTTTTACTAAATTCGTATCTCAATATTTAATGCCTGGCAGTTCCTCTGGCAAAAGCAATACCTTTTTCTTTCTTAGTGTGGGCTATAGTAGCTACTCTTCAATCACTGTGTCTTAAACAGGGGCTGATCATTAGGACATGTTTGTAATTCATGAAACTATGTAATATCACAGACTGCAGTTAAAAAAAAATAAAATTAAAAAATAGCATGTAAGGTTCATGATGTAAAGATTCTAGTGTTAGAGTATTACTTAAAACTGCGCAAGTTTTCTGCTCTCTTTAAAAACTAACGACCTTATTCACGTCCTCTTAAGCCTCAGGCAGGAGGAAGAAGATTCAGCTAAAAACGTGTGTCAATCTGCCAGATTGCCAAGAGGGTGTTTTGCAACGTTACAGCCGCCTGGCGCCAGCCCGCAGGAAGTCACCACTGTTTCTGCCACCAGCCCCTTCTCATATGTAACCTGCTTAACGCCGAGAAGGGCGAATTGAAGACCAGTAATAACCCATCTTCAGGTCTTTCTCCCACTATCCTTGTCTCCAGGCTCACGCTCTGGAATGGTCCCTCTGATCCTCCATCGGCCCTTCCTCTGCTCCCCTCTGCTGATAAAGCCTCATAATGCCAAAATCAGCCCCCAGACTGTCAACCCTGGGCAGAGGCACTCGGCGGTACCAGTTTAAATAGTGACTGCTATACTTCTCACCAGGAAAGAAACAGCTCGGTCCTGCCTGTCATGAAGGACATTACAAAAACTAGTGGCCTCAGCCCAAAAAAATCACAAACCCAACTGTGAGTGTTTCTGCTTTTGTGGGAGGGTTTATATGGCAGAGCTGGTGCATAAGTCTGTTTCTTTCCACACCACGTCCCTACTTTGAGCATCAATTCAAGTCCTTCCTCACCAAGTGTCAGTGTTGGATGGTTGAAGCATTTAGCTAGATGTACGTACTGAAATGGAAACCAAAAAGAAATGGAAAATAATTTAACTCACTAAAAGTCTATTTATTAATCAAAATTTTTTGTAAATTTATTTTTGTATTAAGGGACTCTATTTACTGTGTCTTGCACGATCCTTTGTTTGTGTTCTATCACTATTTTGGCTTAATTTAAAAGAATCTTCTTTTGTATGCAGCTTTCCTCAAGTGGAGACAGTTTTAATACCAGTGACTTCAGGGAGACTGATCCCGGTTGTTACTCACTCAAAGGCTTTCTGAGCTGGGAAGCTTTTAGGAAGCTGTGGGCTACCTTGAGTTTCTTACTACAAGAAGTACATCATTTCACAGGCATATTGTAAGATAACTCTTTCTTATGTGGTGCCAAAGGCAATATTTCCCAAAATCCAGTATTTGAGACGAAGTAACTGTGGTTGGGATGTGAGTTCTTGTTAAGTGATCTTGTCAGTAGCGTTTGGTGTTGAAGTTACTTAGCGTTTAGCATAAGCTTTAGTACTCAATTTTGTTCATTAAAGATTTATTTTTATTTTTTTTTAAATATTTGTGCTTAGGAAGTCGATTCAGCTGTTAGTACCTCTGCAGTATTTTGCAACAGAATTATGAGCAAAAGAAAGGACTTTAGGATAAAAGTAGATTTGGATAAAATTAAAGCAGAGACGAAAACGGACGGCTCACCGTTTCACTTCGTGTCCCTACAGATATGATACGTGTAGGCGATCTGCTTGGTGATAGCTCCCTCCAACCCGAGGAACGCCTTTTAGCAGCAACACTGTGCACGTTTGGGGGTTTTTCGTTTGGTTTTGAATATGCCTTCTGTTGCTGTTCCGGTTGGTTCTGGCACTAAATGCAATATACAGTAACACGTGCCTCGCAGCTTCCATGATTTCAGATGACGAGTAACATTCTCTTTGGGGACGTGCACTAGTGACCTATCTATTTCCATTGCCTGTTCTCGTGTATATACTTTATTCTCCTCGTTGGCAACTACCTTCAGCTTCCATTCATTGTAATTTTTAAAATCAGTGGAAACTAGATGAACTCCATCTACTCGGCAGTTCAGAAAATGGAAGATTTTCTGTAAAATGTTGTTGCTAAATAGCAAATTTGGAAAGGGCAAGTATTGCTTGAATTTTTAAAGCTAAACTTCATGAGCTGAGTTCAGAAATATACTTTCCTCCCTCTCGCCCCCCGCCTTTGATTCTCTTATTTTTCTGAAGCACTCTAAGGCTGCAGGCACTTCAAGACTTCAAGCACTGAATTTTGTTATCAAAACAGAAAACAGTTTCACTATAGCAAATCTTTGCTACAGCGTCAGCTTTAAAACAGGTTTAGTATCCCATATAAAAACTTTTCAAGATTAAATTAGCTCTGTTCTAGTTTGGCCCGGCTTTCTTAAAGCCTATTTTTTAAACAGTTCAGTGTGTAGAAAGTATAATTTAAACTGCTTTCAGGTACAGACTGTCAAAACTAAGAAATCAAAGCGCTCTGATTACTCACTCAAATTGCTCCTCGGTTTGAGAATTTAATTGATGTCTCATGTGCCCGCGTGCATCAAGTAAAATTAATAATAATACAAAATACCTCGATGTGTTCGGAGAAATCTCGGCACGCGGAACGGGGGGAAGAATCGTCCAGGTAAGTGACCCTCTTGAATGTCCACATGGAGTTCGACAGCCTGTTAAGTACAACTTTTGCCAAGGAGCCCTGTTAATAATTTGTAGTTAAAATCATCTTGGTTACTTTAAGATAGAATTTCATGGCTTTTTCATATTGTATTCATACAAAGAACTGTACAGCTTTCACAGTATGAATGTTTAGGAGCTTTTGGGTAAAGCAGAAAGTAGTGACTGATAGCTTTCCTTTTTTATGCGTAACTATATAACATTCTGCACTGTGTTCTGAAGCTTGCTTGTCTACGTTATGTAACATCAATATACAGCTGATTAGAGGCATACAAACTTCTAATTGGAGGGGTTTTTTTGTTTAGTTTCACTGTATCTTAATAAAAAAAATCATATTTTGGTACGGGTCGCATTGTACGCAATACATACTCTCTTACGCGCTGTAACGAATCAAGTGTGACGTTACAAACTGCCTGTCTTCAGTGGTTCGAGCTCACAAGCTTTGCTTTTTTTACATCTGATGCTGGAAAGTCACTTTTCTCTATCAATATATTTTGGGTTTGTTTGTTTTGGTTTTTTTCCCCAGATTGTCACAAATTACTCCGCGTTTCAAGCATACTCAGGCGAGCCCAGTGTACACACAGTTCCTGACTACCTTGCTGGAAGAACTGCATTTAAAAAATGAAGATCTGGAAAGTTTAACAAGAATATTTAGAAAAGACTGCCTACTTGACTGGTCAGTCAATTTTAAGCTATTTTGCATGTTATAAAACTAAGCCAGTTAACAATGGTTTTAATTTTCTGCATTTTGTAGGTATGCATAGTAACTACAGATCGTATCAGCCAGAGTAGAAAATGTGTAAAGTACATTTTAAAGTAAAGAAATGTACGGTATGGAAATGAGTGTCATCATTTTGTCACTTACAGTAAATGCCAGCTGCTTACTTATCACTTTAATCTTTTGATAATATATAGTTGGTTTACTGAAATTTTGGGAGGAACTTTTACTCAAGTTCTACTACAATTTATTAAAAAAAAAAAATTCTATGTGGCTACAATGGCTAAGTCTCAGCAGGGTTCTTTATTGTTAAAATGGAATTGTTAGGTTCAGTCTTTGTGATACAAACCTGAGCTAAAAGCCATGTATTTTTGCATAATACCGAGATGACATTTTGCATCCTGGGTAGGCTGAAAAATTTAAGAGCAAATACCTTATTTATGCTGACCATATTCAACTGATTTGATGAATATAGCATTATAGTATTTAATTAAGTAATTAGTGTATTAGCATCACTGATCTCACTCCTTTGTTCCCCACAGAATAAGGTGATCATCTTAACATCTCCTACTATCTGAAATAGTGGCACAGGGAACAGAAGAACACCTTCAATTGTTGGAACCTTTTTTTTAAATGAAAAATGAAATTTAGCATTGATTGTGCTTCTCCCACTTCTGCTTTTTCATTTCCTTCCTATGAATAAGAATTGTGAGGTCTTGTGGAGAAGCTGGCTATAACAGCAGTTGTACGAGGTGCGAATGAAGACTACTTAAAACGTGGATCGTCTGAAAACGGTTTATTGAAAAGCGGTAGAAAGGAATTTGGGTTGGTGCTGCTGAGATTTTTCCAGTTGACCTAATGCATGGAGCGGTAATCTGCAAGAATGATGACGGCAGTACACAAAGATATCTGATCTATAGCCTGTTTATCTTGCTACTTCTAAGAAAAGGGGTGGTCTCTGAGCTTGTGCAAAAGTTATTTTTAACAGCCTCTAATCGTTACTAATTTGGACTTTAAAATATATTTTAGTAACTAAAAACTTAATTTTTGGCTTCCAGCAGTCATTTCATTTAAAAGAGTTGTGTTGTTTAGACTGAGTGTGTTTAGACTTGCTCCTGTCACTGACTGATTATAAACTGCAATTTAAAACTAATCCACTAGTAATTCTTAATGATCCCATAATCTGGTTTATTGCCTAGCTCTCCATCCATAGGACGCTGTCCTGTGAGAGACTTGAGAAGAAAGTCGTGACTGACGGTGCTCAGTCTGCAGCAAAGGGCAGCACTAGTTAAAGCTGAAGCAAGACTTGCTAGGGCTGCGACGTAGCAACTCCATTTCAAAACCAGAGTTTATTCCTTTGTTTTGTTTCTGTAATTGGACACCGAAAGGGAACTCTGCGCTTAATTAGTTTATTGCTGTGTAGTTCCTTCATGATAATCAGGATAAACACCTTGCTTGCCCCCAACACACAGAAGCCCGTGCAGCTTTTCCATGGAAGCTTCATTGTGCGGTAGAGTTTGTTTAGGTGATGCTTGATTCCTAACTTACCTTGTAATGGGAAGGTACGTTCAGTGTAACTTGTAAAAGCAGCAGTTCAGAATGAGGCAAACCTTTAATGCAGAGGTAAAGCTATGCGCTTCTCTAAGCGTGCAATAGGAAAAAAATACCCATCGCAATCAGAGCGTGTCTGATGTCGAATTCATAAGAATGCGTGGTGTAATCTGGATAGAAGGTACATTGGGTTTGTACCATGATGGAAAACTTTTTACTTGATACATATGCAAAGAAGGGACAAGACCTCACCAAAAGATAAGCTTATGAAGACTGAGTAATAGGTATGATACTGGGAGCAAAACTTTAACCTTGAGTTTATATCTGTCTGCTTTTGATTTTGGAAGTGAGTGAGTTAGCTCCAGGTACGTTTACCTTGGGGCATAAAGATTCCAACTGCCCCGTGACTGTGCTGCTATACTGCGTACACCCAGAAGGCATTACGAGTGTACATCATAGCAGGAATACGACTGTGTTTCAGCGGGTTTGATGGCTCTCATTTGGAAAGTTTTTATACTTCCTGTCAGTTTAGTGGTGTGATTTTTTTTTTTTTTTTGTTAGTTATTTTTAGGCTTGGTCTTCAGCACTTACTGTGTAGGAAACATGATCTTGTAGTAAGAGTGAATAGGTCACAGGCGCAAAGACCCCTTTGTCAGGGTTCAGTGTAGCTTTCGCTGTCTGCCTTAGCAGCTCAAAGAAGGAAGCTTCCAGGATTTTTGCATCCCCTCCTTGGCTGACAGGTAGTAAGCTCACTCATTCTTTTCCTTGCCCTAAGAGAACAGAATAACCTTTCTGCTTCCATGACCTTCTTCACCCGTCCAGAAGAAAGACTTCTGTAATACGCTGGAAATGCCCTGAAGGGATATTCTTCACTTGCCTTTCATGATTTCATCTCCCTTAGACATGAGTAACACATGGGTAAATAAATGCAGAAAGCATAGATATACCCATTACTTTTGAGTAGGAGAAAGGCTGTAGACTCATCTCAGAAGGATCTTTCGTACTGTCAGCCTTAACTGGTTGTACAAAGAGCACAACTCAAGCATCAAAAATTAAGTTCATCTATGTAGTTTTCTTATGAGCATGTTTTGTAACAGCTTAACTGCTTAGAAATGTTCAAATCTACACCTCATTTGTGACCTTAAAGCTAATTTCTGCCACAACTATCTGTCCTTTAACAGACTTTATTCTTTCTCAGCTGACTTTCCCCCCCCGCCCCTTCTTATTTTGGTTATGTTTGCAGGCAGGTTGCTTCCTTGTGGCCTTGCTGCTGTGCTCACTGTTTCTCCTTCCTATGCTAGTTGAACAGATGAGAAGAGTTGACGCTCAGTTCAGTGGTAGGTTTGAGCCTTACCTCAGAATACGCTAAATTTCAGTGATTTGATTTGTGAGCTGCAGGCGCGTGGGGACATTCTGGATCTGGGGCTTAGGGTAGATGGGACTCAAGCCTCTGTGAAAGGGGCAAGAGCTTGGTAGAGCCATCAGCTGCTTAGATCGAAAGGATCATAAAGTCATAGAAGTTCATTGCCCCGCCTGTGTAAAGCATCCAAGTCTGGCAGCGGACCTGTAGCAGGACAAATATGGTATGATGCAATTCTTCTGATGCAAGGCTTCTACAGTGATTTTTTTTTTTTTCCTGATGTATATAGTGGATATAGCAAAGAAGAGAACAACGCTTTAGTTTAAAGCTTAAAGCAAAGCCTGCTTCATGCTGTTGCAGCTTCTCAGCATGAAGGGAGAATGTGTGACATATACCTGCATAGTGCAGGTATGGCTTTCTTACTGAGTTTTCTATAGATGTAATGAAGTAATCTCAGGAAGAGAACAGCGTTAATAAAACCACATAGACAGAGAAAGTCAAATTGTTCAGAGTTATTCAAAGCAAGTCTTTGTGCTGGCCAAAGAGGATGGAGGAAAAAGTTTTGTGCCTCTTCTCACACCAAAGTTCGGTTCACAGTCCTGTAAATACTTTCAGTGTAAGTAAGTACTGCACTCTAATACTCAGTTTCCTAGCACAGAGCCCTTCACTGCTGCTGTTCAATTCTTTGTGCCCATTGACCAATCTTGCTGATTTTTCTTGGGGTTTGGAGAGAAGAAGGGGATTCAGAGTGGTTCACTTGATAGTCCCTATGTCAGGAAAGTGGGCAAGCCATAAAGTAACCTGTGAGTTAGCAGGCATTCAAAGGGATTGCCCTGCAGCTTTGTAAAGTTTGCAGATCATGTTATGCTTATATATGGTAGCGTGAAATTCTGTATTAAAACTAGCAGAAGAGAGCTTAATTTATTTTGTGGAAGACTATCAAAACAAAAAAAGTGCCTTAGTAAATCTAGAGCAGAATAACTAACGTAGCTGTACTGCTGTCTAAACCCAGGACTGGAAAGTTACATCTACCCTATCTGTAAAGAGTGACGGAGGGAGCAAAGAGCATGGTACATATGTGAGATACAGCTGGGGCCTCAAAGGCTGTGTCCACACAACACGTAGAAGTTTCACCTGTATTTTCGCTCTTCAGTCTCTGCAAGTAGTTTAGAAGTGAGGGATCTGTTGTAGTTCGAGGGGGTGGGGAACTAATGGTCCTGTGAATCTTGATGCTGAACCTGCATGTCCTACCCTTCTCTCCCTAGTTTGAGAGAATCTGGTTTCTACAAAATGCTAGAGGGGATGAGCAGCTCAGCTGGACATGAAGTCTCAGCTGACCTTTAACTGCTGGAAAGAAATGGACTAAGACATCAGAGAGAAGAAAACGGAAGAGAGAAGGGGAAACCAGTATTCACACCTTCTAAATTTAGGCATCCAACCTTGGGTACCTGCCTGTCTCCATTTACTTCAGAGAGAACCCACACTCTTAAATTTAGGTTCTCCAAATCGTACCTTCGTGTGGTGCGTGAAGTGGATGGTGTTAACGTCTCTGCAGGCATTAATTCCCTGATGATAGAAAGCAAACAAGAGTCAGCTGAGAACTTTGACCATCATAGACTGACTCTCCCTAGAGGGATTTATTTAGTAATAAAGCGTGGCACAAAACTGAATGGGGACCCGCCCCTCCAAAGTGAGAAGTTTCTAAGCAATCTGATCCTATTGTTCAGTTATTTTGATGGCTACTACTTCACACAGAATTTTTTCTTAACCTGTAAGAGTTAAACCCAAAAGAATTCAAGTGAGTGGCAGAGGAAAAAAACCACTGCCAGTGTGTTGAAAGTGTGTGCAGCAGGTTACACACGAGTTCTCCCGTTTGCCTCTAAGCTTTCCACGCTTACCGCTTATTTCTGCAATTGCTTACGAACATCCAATACTGTGGGTGGGGTTTAGCTTGATCTCACTGGGGTAGCAGGTAATGCTGAACCATCATTTCCAATAAGCATTAAATATTAAAAACACAGAATCAGCCCCTCTTTGGCAAGTCTTAAGTTTCCATAAGCAGCAGATGGTATACAAGGCAGGGCTAGGCGCCTATAAAGACCTCTGCTTCTCAACTGCATATCTCTGCCACCTGACAGCCAGGCGTCCTCTGGTTAGAGTCAGAGGAAGTGGGTGTGCCTTCCATTAGCAAAGACAGAAAGTAATATTGCTAGAGATTTTTCCTCTTGCGAGCTTTCTTTTTGTGACTCTTCATCTTGGAGCCACTTCTCGGCGCCCACTGCAGACAGTGCTCTGGGAGACGGGCTGCCTGAAAGACGCTGTAGAACGTGAACTGTGGCATTTGTGGTGCTAAACAGGATTCGGTGAGGCGGGGGGGAGAGCTGGAAACCTGTGTCTTCAAGAAGCTCTCGTTTGAGCGCTCTGGCTTCAAAAAGCAAGTGAAAGCGTACGTTGCCTCAGTGGCTGATCTGGATGTGTGTGATGAATGTTAGGTCATTCCCCCTTGGTTGCTTGCAGCTGTAGAGCAAGGAGCAAGGCAAACTGGAGTTCTGAAAAAATAAACAGGACTAGCCAAAAAGAGTAATAATTAGCAAGAAGAAAAATGAGAAACAAGCACAAGTCTTGCCCTGCAGAATGGGCACTATTGCAAGATACCTTTTGGGCATCCTCCTCAAAATAGTCTCCTCTCTACAGCATCACGTTTGGGGCAGAATTAACAGTAGTGGCAGGGCTGGGAAGGCCAGGAACAAAGGCCACCAGCTTTCCGACCAGTGTTTCTGAGATCTGCGAGCCAGGTTTATCTTCCCACTGAGTTTGCTGCCACAGTTGAATGTACAGACTTAAGTCTTAGATGTTAAGAAGGGTTCTCAATCAAAGTAATGCAATAAGTGTGGCCCCTGTAACGCTTCAGCTGTGCACCTTTGTTGGGTTCACTGCCCCATCCTGCTGTTACCCCAAGCCAACAGCTCCCTGGTGCGTCCCGGCTCCAAGAACAGTCTAGAGCTGACGCGCCGGTGGTCATAAGGCAGTCGCATCTCGCCGCTGTGAAAACTTCCCCCCTTAGAAGTCAGTCCCCAGAATGCTTTGGTAGCCTGTACTTTAAAGGCAAAGCCTTTAGTACGTTTTTGCACGCTGTGATTACCTGCAGGAGCTGCATGCAAAGATCAGAGAACAAAGCCAGCGGGGCTACTGACTGGTACATCCTGCATGGCTCCAAGCCACATCAAATCAATGCCATTTCTGGCACTTTTTAGCCTCTTACATTCCACAGAGTGTGTAACTGAATTGAACACACAGTGGGGACAGCAGCAGCTTCCTGGAGAGTCCTACACTTTGGTTAGAATTAGTCATCACTACAGAGAGTTTGAAGGACTTTGGATACAGCTTTAGTAAGCTGCAAACGCTCAGATCAGGATTTACATCGTAAATCTTGCCTTTTTGTTCTACTCAAATGGGAGTGTCTACAAATCAGGTTAATATAATTTAACAGTAGAGTAGTTAAGTAACAAAAAAGATCATAATTGGTGGTATTATCTAAGAAGCCAGAACAGCCCTGCTTACAGCTGCCAGCTAAGATCTGACTCATCTAAGGTATTTTATAGCAACCATATGTTAGGCATGTCTATCTCACCTATTATGCAAAAAAAATGATAACGTTTCCTAATCAGGATTTGCCACTGAGCAGGATTTTCCGTAAACATCTCAGTGTTGCAAACGCCATCCACAGTCAGGAGAGAGCCTTTTGCAGACACTTCTGATTTGTTAATTTAACAAACAGAATAAATGGCTACAAATCTGTGGCTAGTACTGATTCAGCAAGGTTGGCTGTAGTTCAAAGCAGAGGTATGTTACTTCGGCAGTTGACAAGTTAAAACATCACTTAAGAATTCCATGTTCAGGTGACTTCAGAATACTGCACTTGTGAAAAAAACCCTGTGTGTTTCAAATCGAAGACACAGTCTCAAAGCAGGAACAACCATGCAATACAATAAAAAATACTGTGGCACTGCAAGCAAAGTCGTATTGGTACAGTGTATTTACCTGCACAGCCAGAAAAGAGAGGGTCAATTCGTATCCGTACAGGAGAGAAAGATTAAAAATTAAGTTTGAGAATATTAAGGTCTTCAGATAACAATGCAGTTGGTTAAGGTAGAATAATCATTGCGTTTTAACAAAGGCAGACACCATTGTAAACCCCCTTGGTTGTTGATTTCTGAGCAAGTTTTACATCTAGTTCACTTTTACATGGAAACCTGCCTAAGCCTGCACCCCTCTGCAACCTCACCTCAGTCCTTGCCCAAAGGCTGGGTAAATGTCCCTCAGCCCTAACTATCCCTAGGCTCTTGCTGCAGTACCCCAGTAGTCTGAAGGGGTAACGTGGGGGACGAGGCTGTGGTCCCAACACTCCCTTCTGTTCCAAGCAAACTGTTGTCTTGGTAATTACGTACCTTGTTGAGGAATCACAAGCTCTCATTTTTTTGAGGAGAAGCCTTTCCCTTAAAAGGTTTTTTGAATACATTTTTTTTTTCTGAACTGTGGGTTCTCACTAAATAAAAAAAAAAATAAAAAGCAAAGTAGGTATTTTTGCTGCTTCTAATAAAATTTCACAACTAGCAATGTAGTTAGTGTGTTTCTTCCTTATTAAGATAATTTCTCCAGAGGGCATTTGAAAACTTGAAAAAATAAGTGATTTTACAGATGCTACATTAGTCCGCAACAGCTCTGGGTCAAATACGAGTCATCTCTGCTAACTATTCATTTCTAAGATCCTCCCAAGCTCTGCTTTTCTGTACACTGAACATCTGATGCTTCTTGTTTTTCTTCTATAACCACAGATGTGCCCTCTTCAAAAAACTCACAATCTCAAAATACTAAACTGACAAGCTGAGTGTCAAACCACACACCCCAAGCAGCAAGCAGTGCTGAAGAAAAACAGAATCACGCTTGAAGAAAAACAGAAGAAATCACACAAATTGTTTCCAAAGAATGAATCTGAAACGTTTTCAACTCGGTGCAGGCATTGTTTCTTAAGAATGCAAATGCCACTTGATGCTTTTAGTTTTTGTGCTCGCTTACTGTGTAAGCAGAGGCTGCTCTCGGAAAGAGGAGATGAATTGGAACAACGCTTTATGTTTTCTTGTTAAGATGAGTTTTAGCTCTCTTTGAGCTAAAAACTGGAGCCTTGCTCTGGGACCGAGATGGGGCTCCTCGTTTGCCAAAAAGCAGCACGGGTGTTCCTGTGCTCGCTGAGTTACACACCAGGGTAAGCGAGGCCTCTTTGCTGGGAACGTGTGGTTTGTGCGTGCTGCAGAGCCTCTCTGCCTCAGAGCCCCCATGTGTTGCTCGCTGAGAGCGCACTGGAGAGCTGGGCAGGAGCCGAGCAAAGCTCCCCTCTGAGCAAGAGGGCCCGCAGCCACCGGTTTGCTGTGACAGGTCTCTACATTACCTTTGAGCCCAGGGGGGTGAAGCGATTTCATAGAATCATAGAATGTTTTGCGTTGGAAGGGACCCCTAGAGGTCATCTAGTCCAACCCCCCTGCAGGAGCAGGGACACCGCTAACCAGATCAGGTT